CCAGTCAGATCTTTATGCATGGCCACTGCTCAAAACAATTCTTCTTTTATTTTTTTTATTGCACTTTAGATGAAGGTTTACCGAACAAATAGTTTCTCATTAAACAGTTAGTACACATATTGTTTTATGATGTTAGTTAACAACCCCACGACATGTCAACACTCCCTTCTCAATCTTGGGTTCCCTGTTACCAGCCTTGCTGTCCCCTCCTGCCCTCTAGTCCTTGCCCCTGGGCTGGTGTGCCCCTTTAGTCTTGTTTTGTTTTATGGGGCTGTGCAATCTTTGGCTTAAGGGTGGACCTCGGGAGTGACTTCATTACTGAGCAAAAAGGGAGTCTGGGGGCCATACTCTCAGGGTTTCTCCAGTCTCTGTCAGGCCAGTAAGTCTAGTCTTTTTTTTTCAAAACAATTCATATTTTTGATCATCATGTTGGCTGATCTTTTCCAAGAAAAGAAAGGAAAGGAACATGCTGAGCTCCTACTATATTCTAAGCATCATGACAGACCGGAACACAGAGCTTACACTGTTTAATTCAAACTTTGCAGCCACACTGTGAGGCAGGTATTGTAATTCCTATTTTAGAGATCAGAAAACTGAGGGTCTAAGATTTAAGCAACTGGCTCAAGGCCTCTTAGCTAGTAAGTGCAAGAGCTGAGGCTCAAATCCAAATGGGTCTTTTGGGGTAGCTGGTCTCCAGAGATGGCCCCCAGGCCAGACCTGCATGCACTTGTGTAGCCCCCTCCCCACTGAATCTTGGCTGGCCCTGTGACTTGCATTAACCAATGGAGTGCTGTGGAAGTGAAACTATGTCAGTATGGGTTTAGCCTTTAAGGAGACTGGCAGCTTCTGCTGCTTCTCTCTTGGGATGCTCATTTTCAGTAGTACTGAGCCACCTTTTAAGAAGTCTGGTTACCCTGCTGGAGAAATCCTAAGGAGAGGCCCAAGGGGAGGTCCTGAGTTTAAGTGGGGAGGCAGAGAGGCCCAGGCCTCTCAGCATCCCAGTCAACTGCCCTCTGTCTTGCAGCCACCTGAGGGCCCCCGAGCAAGAAGAACAGAAGAACTGTCCAGCTGAGCCCTATCAACCCACAGAATGATGAGAGAGAATAAAAACGGTTGCTGTTTTAAGCCACTGAGTTTTGAAGTGGTTTGTTATACAGCAATATATAACCAAAACTCTCGTATAACATGTGCTCCTTTCCTCTACGTGTCTTATGCACTGGGTAGTCCTGAGTCCCATTTTAAGGCAGTGAACGATTATTCCCCAATCAGCATCTCCAAAAAAGAGGAGCTATTATTGCATAGTGGGAAAGAACATGCACTGGCCGACCCATTCTGTGACTTGATCAAGTTACTTCGTGTTTCAGAGGATCTAAAAACAAGATTGCTAGTGACTCCCTTGCAGGGAAGTATAGGGATTAAATGAAACACTGCTAATAAAACACAGTCATGTTTTCACTTATATAATTTGATTCTAATCCTCCCAATAAGTCCTATGACACAGATATTACCATCCCCATTTTGCAGATGTGTAAAGTGAGGTTCAGAAAGTCCCTGGGCACAAACGGTTTGTGCTCCACTACTAACCTAAAGGTTGGCAATTTGAACCCACCCAGCAGTGCCACAGAAGAAAGGCCTGGCAATATGCTTCTGTAAAGATTACAGCCCAGAAAACCCTATTGAGCAGTTCTGCTCTATAACACATGGAGTTGCCATGAGTCAGAATCAACTTGATGGCAGCAAGTTTGGATTTGGTTTGGAAAGTGAGGTTCAAAGAAGTCATATGGCAATAGTCGCAGAGTTATTAAATCATGGGGCTGAGACCCAAATCAGGTCCTCTTATCTCTAAGCCCTGAGCTGTACCACAGATGCCAACCCAGGTGGTGTGATTTTTTCCTGAGCCCTTAGTTTATGCCAGAAATGCTCATTTAGTCCTCACAAGGATTTAGGGATAAATAGCCTTGACATGGATGTACACGTTTAGACCAGACAGCAGAATATACTGGCAAGTTATTATGGGATTTAATGAAAATGAGGGTCAAAAGGAAGTGCCTTCTAAAAAACAGGAGAGGAAGGGCTGATCACATTGATTGACTACTGTTTGGGGCCAGGCACTATACTAGACCCTTGATCTACAATAGCCTTGAAACCCTGAGAACATTATACCCCCATTTTACAGTTAAGGAAATAGAGGCTCAGAGGGGATAAGTAACATACCCTAGACACAGAGAAAATGGAGGAGCTAGGATTGAGTCTAGTATCGACTCTAACATGTGGCATCTTTCCCCTGAACCAGGGCTTGTCAATACCTGCTGCACACATTAGAATAATATGGAGACATTTTAAAAGTACTGACACCTGGGCTCCACCTTCAGAGATTCTAAATCAGTGGCTCTGGAGTAGGGCCTAGGCACTGGCACTTTGAAAGCTCCCATCATGGATTGAATTGTGTCCCCTAAAGATATATGACAAATTGGCTAGGCCATGATTCCCAGTATTGTGTGGTTGTCCTCCATTTTGTGATCTGATTATCGTCCATTTTGTGACGTGTTGTAAATCCTAACTTCTATGCCTGTGGCTATGGTCCCGTTTGAGAGTGAGCTGTCTGTTATGTTATGAGGCAGGATTAGGTCATGTTAAGGAGAATTAAGCTATACTTGTTATATCAATGAGGTAGGATTAGGTTGAGACATATCTTGAGTCACTGCCCTTCACTGCCCTAAAAGAGATAAAAGCAGAGAGAAGCAAGCAGAGAGAGAAGGACCTCCTGCCACCAAGAAAGAAGAGCTGGGAGTGGAGCAAGTTCTTTGGACCTGGAGTTCCCGTGCTGAGAAGCTCCTAGACCAGGGACAGATTGATGACAAGGACCTTCCCCCAGAGCCAACAGAGAGAGAAAGGCTTCCCCTGGGGCTGGTGCCCTGAGTTCGGACTTCTAGCCTCCTAAACTGTGAGAGAATAAACTTCTGTTTGTTAAAGCCATCCACTTGTGGTATTTCTGTCACAACAGCACTAGATAACTAAGACAACTCCCAACCAGGTGATTCTAATGTGCAGCCATGGGTGGAACACAGCTCTGAACCTTAGCTGCCCTCGGGAATGAACAGCTCTGAGACATCGGAACATGATCTCGGGCCAGATCTGAAAATAACTGTATTCAGCTGGGTTGCGTAGAGACCAGCACCACACCCTTTTCTCACTCTACCCATAGAAGGAATGGCTGGTTTTTTTCCTTAAACAAGTCATCACTAATTCATCACCCAAAGTTCATAGCAACTGGAATATGTATTTTAGGCAACAGCATCACATACCAGATGCACAAATACAGGGAAAACCTAAAATCAAATTCAGGCATCATACCTCCCTCTTGATAGGTTGTGAAGTTTACTTTTTACTATTCCTTGTAGTACCTGAGAAAAGTTTTTGGTTCCCTGTATTATTTTTTAAATGGATACATGAAACTTTTTTTTTAACACAATGCATCTTTATTCCTTATTTTCTTCTGGGGGTGCTTCAGTGCCACATTTGGTACATAGTCACCCAGGTACTGGTCATCAGCAAGAGGGGTTGGTCATCAGCAAGATGGACTGGTCGTCAGCAGGGTGGGAGCCCCTCACTGGGCTAGCCTGGCTGGGCTGGGCCCCTACAGGTCCTCTTCTTGGAGGATACAGTGGGAGGGCATGGAGCTAGGACTAGGCACCATCAAGGCCCCAAGAGTAAGCCCAGAGGAGGCCAGGAGGGCCTTGGCTGAAAGGGAGAGTCCAGTTGCTCCCACTGACTGCAGAGTAGCTACAAGGCTGCCCCCAGCAACCCTGCCACCATTGGCGATGGCCGCTGAGGACCCCATCTTGGCAGCTATAAAGGAGGCCGTGATTCTGGCCCTGATGAAGCCCACGGTGCTGAGCACTGTGGGCACAGATCCCACAGCCACAGCTCCTCCGACCATAGCTGCAGCAGTCTTTGCCACTGAGGGAAGGCCAGCCGGGGCGGCCCCAGAGGCCACTCCACCCACGTTGGCCATGGCCACTGCTGACATCATGCTGGGGGCCGGGTTGGAGACCATGGCACAGAGGCTGGACATTTTCTGACCACACTTGTGGCAGCCCCAGAGAAGATTTCCCAAGCCACATGAAACGTTTTATATTTCCTTCTCCAAAAATGAAAACAATTAAGTTGCTCTTATGGTTTTTTTGTTTTGTTTTGTTTTGGAGCCCTGGTGGAACAGTTGAGCAATGGTTAAGAGCCACCAAAATGTCCACTTGCTGCTCCTTGGAAACCCTGTTTGGACAGTTCTACCCTGTTTTATAGGATTGCTATGAGTCAGAGTCGACTCTATGGCAATGGGTTTGGGGTTTTTATGATTTTTTAGCAGGGAAGTTCAGGGGCCTTTAATGAAAACAAAACATTTTTCCCGTCTCAGCCTAAGGAGTGACCCTGATGTGCAGTAGGAATTTGTGGGATTGATGTGCTCTGGGTTTCCCTAATTCCTTGCAGCTTCAAAGGCACCCTGACTGTCTCTCTTCTTCTGATCATGAACCATCTCCATCTCTTGGGTTGGAACATATCAGGCAGCATAATCAAGCAGAAAGCATTGAATTATCTCCACGACTTCACCAATCTAGAATCTAGCAAGAAACTAGCTTTTCTTGGTTAAGCTGAAAGTGAAACTGAAGAGGGAGAGTT